GAGAAGAGCAATAAGCACCACACATGATCAGGAACTACAGAAACAATAAACATCCCAAAAAGAAACAAAAAAATCCTAAAAAAATGGGCCCCTTAGAATATACCCAACGCCATATTCTATCAACTTAACGGGGACTATAAGGGGAGGGGGTTAAGAAACCTCTGGGATGAACCCAGAGGCGGCTTTGTAGTTCTCAGATCTGCTGTTAAAAAGGAATCTAGTTGAAGTTACTATATTGGGGAAACCCTATTACTTACTATATACATACTCATTGCAGTGGCTTAAGTTAGGTTCCTTAACAGCAACCCAGTTCTTGTTTGGTCCTGTTGCGCTTTCAGCGAGGACTCTTACGATGCTCCCTGGACAAGGTCGTTCGGGCAGACATGACAAGCGAATCTCAGTGGGGGAGAAGCTGCTCGTTCATTGTAAGCGGTACATGGTTTTTTCTAAGGTTCGGTGCCTCAATTGGAAGCCCTTAAAATGTGAAAATGACATATTGGAGTCCATTCAGGGGCCCTTTTACGGGGGTTCCATGCTGGTTCGGGTGAGGATATCTTCTCGTAAGCTAAAACCAAAACTTGAAGGTTTATGGTTACAGGTCTATGAGTAAACCTACTTGGGGCGGTGCCTACTTGGAACTATGTGAGCTTTCGGGTAAGTGCCGCTGGCGTTGGTTACTATGGCTATAAGATAATCTTTTAACCATGTCTACTGGACTCGTAATTTGCTGCCCCACCTTTTCATGCATATGAACTTTCGAGAATGGAATTTTGGACAAAATCCAAACTGACCTCGGCAGCCCCGCTCAAAACAAGGCAACACCCCCATAGCCATGGCAAGTAACTCTAAAAGCCAAACCCAACAAACCGCTGCAGTTGTCGAGCTGCTGGGAGAATGTCGACAAAGTCTTCAGGGGAAGGCTCATCCTTGCAAGAGGCGTCCGTCTTTAATGTGCGTTGCCCTAAAATTTAACGACTAAAAGCTCCCCAATGTTACAGGTAATATTGGGTTATATCGGGGTAATGGAAAATTGACGCTACTATAGCATACCGTTATATAATGAGAGTATATTATAGTTGGGCTCGTACCAGGCTGTAGTGGATGGAGTTGCTTCACATTGGCCAGAATAGGGGTGCTTTATGAAACAAAAAACTGATAGCCTGAACCTTACATATCCACCACAAGCCCATCAAGCCTTTTGTACCTGGATCGCAAACGAAGGTAACATAATGGCGCAAGCCCCCTAAGTCTAGCCCAAAAGGCCGTCATTCTACACACCTTTGGGGTTCAGGTAAACCCTACGAAGTCAGGAACAGTGTTGCCGTTCGGTAGGAAAGGAGGCCTCAGGCTCAGGGATATCGGGGCTTCAATGCTGAGAACCGTGTATTTTACCTAACGCAAGTCCTGTGCACTAAGGGACCCTTAAGTTTTATGAAACATTAACATTGGCATGTTTTGTTTAACGTTAGGGGCCTGTGATTTGGGCGACGACTGATTTCCAAACTTCAGATGATCGGCTCGACTGTTTTTCTTGGCAGTTGATCTTCAGCGATCTTCCTGAGGGGATTGTTGGGTGTTGCTGTCTCAAACTGAACTTCCCAATCCTAAACTCTAAACCTACCTATATACATGTAAGTTAAGTATCGCCTACATGTTCATTCATTCTGGATTAGAGGTCGTTCTTATTGGTCTTTCAAGTTTCGTAGCCTCCAGACCCTCCGCTACCAGACATCTTCCATGAAGGGTCCCAACGCGATTCTTGGGATCTCCCTCTTTGGATGAGATAGGGACTGTGTTGATAAGCGCCCAAATAACTTCACCAGATTTATCCCGCAACTCTAGCCCGCTATAGATCTTGGAGGGGGGTCCTTGCAGTCCTGCTTGAGGAGGTGATAAGCTCAACCCACCTACCGGGGGCCCTCCCGGGCCTGCAGCAGAAGGGGCTTCTCAGAAACCTCCCGGTCCTCAAGGCCATGAACTCTAAGCCTCGACCTTTAACTGAGTCGGTAGGGGCATCCTTGCGACTGGAGCTGTGCGTTCCCAAACAAAAGCAACCCTTCTAAACCGGGTTCCAACAAGAGGTCCCCATTGGGGCCCCCTATTTACAGAAAACTCCATGTATCTGGTATCCCCAGCGCTTGCAAATCCAGGGACAGTCTCGGGCCGAAAGGCATGTGCACGGAAGGCACCGCCCATATCTTGCTGCCAATCCTCCTGGAGATACCTGTTGCTGGGTCGAGGATGCAAGCTTGGGGTTGTCAGGGCTTACCTGGAGCAACCATGTACCTTCAAGCAAAAAATCTCTACCTGATGTTTCAGTCTGTTTACCTTTTCTAGGTTGCTCTGGATAGGGTTCACTGCTTTCGCTTTTGGACTTGGCAGTTGAGGGCCGAGAGGGAGATTCTGTAGAATTTTGAGGTAGAGGTATTCGCGCACTGTACAAGTACGTTGAATTCTCACAGCCTTCAGAGGCGTACAATATCCAAAGCTTTCTAGAGCAGAACTTAATGATCATGCTCTAGCGCCTTCTGCTTAGAGCTTGCAAGCAACGTTGTGAGGACTTCAGTTTGAAGGCTGAAGTTGTAAGATAAGGGTGCTAACACTACTGAATCGTGATTCTGAATCAGCTGAGAAACTCCGTTTCTGCCTGCGGCTTGACAGCCAATAATGATGAATAATTTCAGTCGGATGTGGAGGCTTGGTCAGGGCTTGAAGATGCCAGAAAGTTCTGTCTGATTCCATGATAGCAATCCAAGTATCGGTGCAGCGGTGATCAGAGTAATGTAGAATACTTTCAAGTTCCCAATTTAAGGCCATTTTCGTACTAATTATTCCCTACTCTACACCACCAGTTAATTATGGTGAGGTCTGGTGAGGTTGCCTTAAGTTGCCCAGAGTGATTGGCAACTAGTGTGAACAGCCATTTGAAGACATCGACAAGTGATGCTAATCAAAGAATTGAAATGGTGGATTGCTGATGCCGCAATGGCGCATCAGCGCTTTTGCATGCGAAGCTGATTCTCGGAGAGTCAGAAAAGCTCAAACTCCGAGGCACCCAAAAAAAACACAATCTCTTCAGGGAGACTGCGCACCATTGAAAACTGGCCAATTCTTGGATTTCTTGGACAATTGGGCCCACATCTCTTAACCCTGCAAAAACAAGCAGCAAGAGCACTGAAACGACTTCTTATTGCCTCTGCATGTGAGTCTTGGGCTGTTGGGACTGCTATACAAGAATCCCTGCCTTCTCCCCGCTACCATACAAGAGACAAGTTTCTGCCACGTTGCAGGGTTGCAGTAATCCGCCTCTTGTATGACAAGCGGTGGTGCTCCGGCAGATCTTCTGGATTGTAGTCTTTCTTCGGAACGTAGTCCTTTCAGTCAGCGATAGCAGGGTTATGCCTGAACCCGTATGAAGGGTACAGTACAGGTTGGAAGTGGTATGTTTGCAAGATGAAGACAATGGTGAGGATGGCCATGGAAAGACAACTCCCTCTCTTGTACTTAGCAACTAGTACTGAAAGCGAGCCTACTATGTCGTTGGAATAAGGTACCACCAAACTGCGTAAGGTGTAAGCACGCAGGCAGAGTACACTTGCGAGTCGATCCGTTCAGGATGAAGAGCCGGAAGTGCAAAGATACACACTGCATACAGCGTGGCCAATCACCTGCACATTGTAAAGGTTAGGATAGAATTGGCGTCCGTGAAGCTTCATTCAATGGGCTACATTACACTGCACAAAGTCTGCTACTCCTTGTCATTCCTAGGATTCTAGATTGTCCAAAGCCACAAGACGCAGAGTCTTTGCGGATGGAAAATAACAGCAAGATTACATAAAGCGGTCATGGTCTGGCAACAGCATTAAACAGACAACGTACACATTTAACAACAAGTCATCGCCATTTTGCTAACAAGAGTGACAAGAGCCATTTCCTATAAAGGCCACCAGGACTACCGACAATTCGTGCCCAGCGCTCGGGCATGATCGTTAGCCTCTCCCTCGCCCTTGGCTTCTCTCCAAACAAGTCAATCCCACCTTTCGTACGTACGGTCTCAGGGACCCTGAGGCAAGTACGGCACCTCCTGTTGAGTTCTAGCTCCATGTTCAGAGCGTACGTAAAAGGCGAAGCGATGACTGAAGCCTGGCTTGTAAGTGGGGAATGGAGGATGGATCCTTATAGAAGCCCCGATTTGCAATCCTAAACCATATGATGGTTTCTTTTTCCTTTTCCATGCCTTCTTCCCGACTACGGGCAACAAATGTTAGGAAGTAAGACCTTAAACCCTAAACCCTAGACCCTATTCCTCGTGCACGTGGTACGCCACGCCCTCGCCATCATAGCAGGCAAGCCTAGTTCTCTGGAGGTACTGGATGCATTTTGAGTTTAGGGCTTGGGTTTAGGGTCTTGGGTTTCGGGTTTTGGCTCAGGGTGGTTGTTTCTGATTTTAGGGTTTTAGGCTTAGGATTCCGGGGTTAGGGTCTCCGATTTAGGGCTCACGTTTAGGGCTCAGCCTTGACGTAGATTCGGACTTGAATATAAATAGGGATAATGGAAGAAAAAATGGAAACTACCATATTATATGGGGGTAATATAGAGGATATATAGGGATAATGGAAAAGAACATGGAAACTGCTATATTATAGAGAGTCCACTTAGTCATATACTCATCAGGCCTGAAAACCGGCTCAACCTAGCTTGGGGTGTGTTATTTGCGGGTTCTAGTTTTGGGGTCCGCAAACTCCAAATCCTAAACGGCACAACCCTTTAAGCCTCAATAAGCTCCAAACCTAAACAGCATGTCCCTAAACTCTAGCACATCCTAAAAAATGGTTGAACTCTTCAACCCTAAGTAAGTTCCAGCCGCTCACATGGTATAACCCTCAAAGCCTACACATGTTCAACCCGAAGCGCCGAGCCTTCATATCTCAATCATCTTATCTCTCCTAACTTACTGCTTCTCAGTAGGGAATAAAGGAATACATCATGTTTATACCAAGAACCAATAAGCTACACATCGGTTGCTAAAATGGTTGTCTTTTTGGGGTGCCCGTTAAACAAGAGGCACCAATATCTAGGGTATCAGCATCACAAAAAAGGGTGCATAATTTTTGACAACCCCAAACTCTAGCCACAAAGCCCATGTAACCCTCTATCATCCCGATACAGTACCCCCTTTAAAAGATACAATGTCCCATCTCGAAACCCTGCAGGCCCCACTGTAAGATCAGATCCAAGTGCTGGAGGGTGCCAGGCTCCAAGGGAGCTTTGCCCAAGGCATCCAGGCGCTTGCAAACGCCTGGTGAAAGATAGCCCAAGGGCTTAAAATAGGTACTCGAGTTTTGGGGGGTTTAGGATTAGCCTATGGGTTCTGATCTGGGGTTTGGGAATTTAGGGGTTCAGGGTGCCCCTAGGCTAGGTGTTATAGGACTTGAAGTCTGAGGCTTGCTGCTGAGGTCTAGGGACATGGGTAGAAAGCTGACAAATTTCCAACCGGGCTCGCGGATTGGGCGAAGAAGAAAGCAATGGATGAGAAGCCTCAACAAATCATTCCGCAATGTAGGTCGCTGAGTTGTTGAAACCCTGGCTGCTCTAAGGCCTTAACAGCAGGAGCTCTCGAACAACTCCAGAAAGGGAGGGGCAACATATTTTTTTAACCCC